AAAAACGGAAATTGAGGGGTTATGACGTCATTGGCAGGCGACACAATGACACTATAGACACGGTCCGTGTCACAAGTTAAAATTGCTTATTTCTCTTGATTTAAACATTCTTCGAAACATTTGGGATAATGTAAGTACACAAGTCAGCAAAATATATAACACTGTTCTAGTGGTTTTTGGATATTTTAATAAAAAAATCTTACATATTGTGCCTTTAACTGTCACCGTCCCGCTAGCAGGATGCCTAAGTTTACTTAAATATATTATGATTAAATCCTAATCTAATCATGGCAAACTATATATCTTTGGAAAGGTCTAAGACTCCTAAATAGATATTTTACCACTGTTTGTTGTTAAAAAATTTGTAGGAACAGTAATAGATTAATTTATGACAAGAGTGCACCTCAAAACATATATTTCATAACAGGAGTTCTGACCTTTGTCACAAATGTTTTTTTTTTTTTCGTTTTCCTTATCAGGTTTTAGTAATCATCATAAATTATATATTATTTGAAAGCTTAAAACCTCAAAATTCATCCTATGAAAACCATTTTGAAATCGGACATTGCTTTACCATAGAAATGGTACTTTAATAGCTTTTAGCGGGCTACTCCCCCTTAGTGCGGGGTGTCATATTACAAAATGTATTACGGTCTTTTGGTATCAATCCTTTTTATAATCTTGACAAAATACAAGATTCTCAAGAGTCTCAAGATTTCATATTTGGTGGTTATTTTGTGATAGAATACTGAGAGAGACAGAAAAATGTTTGGACGGCATCCGGTGGCTGTTTGTGGTATAACACCTAAACAAAATTGCATAGGAACCTCAATTATTTTAATATCAACTTCAAATTTGGAACATAACTCATTTAGACACATGGCTTTTATTTATATCAACTTTGGATTAAAACCTATTTTGTAAAATATTTATTTTATATACAATAAAAATAGTACAGTACATTTTCTTTACAGTAAATTTTAACTTCTAGAACTTTTTATGCTTTCATTAGGGGGGGGGGGGGGACAGTTAAGAGGTTAAATAATTCATCAAAGAATCCTGAAAAAACATGTACTCAACTGTTTTAAATATTAATAATAATAATAATGTTTTTTGAGCAGCAAATCATTATATTATATATAAATCATATTAGAATGATTTCTGAAGGATCATGTGACACTGAAGACTGGAGTAATAATGCTGAAAAAAATCAGCTTTGAAATCACAAGAATAAATTACATTTTAAAATATATTAAAATAGAAAGCTTTTGCTGTATTTTGGGTCAAATAAATGCAGGCTTGGTGAGCAGAAAATAATTATTTAAAAAACATTAAAAATCTTACTGTTCAAAAACTTTTCGTGGCTGTCTTAATCAGCTAGCACTTGTAACTGATCAAGCTGCTCTCAAAATGAACTTGTTTCGTCACTAATCACGCTTATCATCCATCTGCTCCTCCTCTTCTCTCTTGTTCATCTTTCTCTCTCTCTCAGTGCTACGCTTAATCACTGTATGGGCATTGGTGCTGTGTCATTTTCCTGATGGGCCTCAGGAGGCCTGATTGTAAGTGTTTGTGATTAGCTGTTGATACTCTGACCCTCCTCTTTCCCTGCTAAGAGCTTTCTAATACATCATGCATGATCTTATCATTGAGCCATTTTGCATACTTATCAAAGGTACGCCAAACCTTTGTCATATTGGCCAACGGTGAGTAAATTGGGAATATTTACTCTCCATTAGAGCTGCAACAAATTATTATTTTGATAGTTAATATAACGATTATCAGAATGATTCGTCTTGCGCTGCAGCGCCACACTGGTCAAATTGCGTTATTGCAGGCCCTTGCATTAGGTGATTTGAGATCAAACAACAATTTGACAAAAATATTTGATATGTCGTCTAATCGTTTCAATCCTGCTGCCCATAAACATTTTAGTTTTTATTAAAATAAATATGTATGTCCTTGTGATCTGCCTACATAGAGTAAAATAACATTCTATTTAAAAGATGAGCTAGCTTTTGTATCTCTCTTTTTTAACTATTTTGCATATTTAATTTGATTTAAAAGACAACTTTGCAGACTTACAACCAGCTTTGTATTGTTACGGTGTTGGTAGTATATGTAAACATAAAATGTGTATGCTTTCTATGTCACCTGCATGAGATATCCCTGTTTATTCATCAGAAATAAACCCGCACCCAGATATCCCGTTTATTTGACAGCCAGATGACATATTTTACATGACTCGGGTGACTTCTACAGACAAATAAATGTCTTTATGTGTGTTCAGGTAACATGGAGAGAGAGTACACGTAGTTCATTTCGTATACTACCCAATAATGCCTTATTCTACATCCCTAATCCTACCCAATACCTAAACTTAGCAACTACCTTACTAACTATTAATTTAGGAATTTATTGAGCGAAAAGTCGTAATTAATAGTGAATAAGTGTTCCCTATTCTAAAGTGTTACCTAAATCGTGTTATTGATTATAATGGGAGTTTTGGTGAAAATGCAGAAATCAAATCACTGATAGACTCGCATTGATCTTGAAGTAAGGGGCGGGTCGAGGAGAATTGTGACGTCACAATGCTCACAATTACAAATCTGGGCATTTCAGAATGCTACAAAAGAATAATTCACATTTTAAACTGCAGAGTTAATTTTGAGTTTTGTAACGTGCTGTATGTTTTTGTTGCAGAGTAACCTCTCGTATGTGTAAATATCAAGAGCATTTTGATTCTCCATTTCATGCCCCTTTTAATAAATTCCAGCATTTGATTTTTAAGGACATTTTTATTCACTTTTGTATGATAAACAGTCCTGGAACTGTGTTTGGTTGCCACTAGATAGCCAAAGTGAGATCAGGTCCTGAATCAAAATCAGCTGCAAATCCTCATCCTCACTGATCCTACTGTGACTATCTACGTTTTTTTCCCCAATAACATCTTTGAGTGAAATGTTTTCCTTGTGTGCATATGATTGTCTCATTTCACACCCCGTCAGCCTTCTTTCCATCTTTCTTTAAATAAACGGGCCATGTTTCTGTCAATCTATCGGCCTTGTCTCTTTCTCTTCCTCTCTCTCTCTCTCTCTGTGATGTGTACTGTTAGATTGATTCTGTGCTCCTGTCCCTTTAATGTCATTTAAGTGTTTCTGTGGGCGCTATTTTCCCTCTGCCAAAAGCTCGCCTTAGAACCTGATGAGGTATCCACAATAATATAAAAAAGAAAGGAGCAATTTCCTGCAGTAACCATAGTGAACACTTTACAGCATGATGCGGGTGCTTGCTTTAGCCCTATGGAGGTTGCGGTCTCCATTCTAATGATTAAAGCAGGAACACAAGCCTGCGAGGCTATTTACAATATTACACACGCAAGTTCAGAGTGTGGCCAACACTGTGGCAAATCCCTTAGTCTAATAGCACATGCATATTGAAATGTAAAAATTTTTCTCATTGAAAGTTTGGATGTAGTTGAAGGGAAAAAAAAGTGAAAAATTGCCCATAAATCACATTTTACTGAGTGCCAGAAGACTCTTTCCGGTACAGTGCATTTTTGGTAGTTCCAAATTAATTGAGGAATGTATAGCGCTGTTAGATCCAGCACAAATCAAAATCAGCAGCCCTTTTGTTCTGTGGCTAATGCAGTTCAAACACTGGAAAAGGTTTCATGAAAACAAGAAATAAAAGACAAGTGTTGGAGATGAGAGGCAAGAGGCAGAGAGAAAGAGAGAAACATGATGGAGTGAACAAGGAAGTTAAACGAGGAGGGGTAGACGTTATGTGCAAATAGAAAAAAATAGCTCGCTAAAAGGTTGACCAACCTGGAGGAAAAGACGGAGTAGAGTAAATTGAAAAAGAAATGGTCCATAAAGGTGAAGAGATGAGGCTTGTAGAGATTTAGTGGAGAGGCCTGAAGATTTCACGCCAGTTAACAGGCCTGAGGGAGGAGGGGGTGACAAATGCCTTTTCAGTGTATTTTGTGTTTCTTTGTGATGTGCGTTTGCTGTGAAGGTTGCATTCACTGAGTGGAGTCTTCTTTGGATTGGTCTAATTCATACAGTACAGTGTTTGTTAATTTGATGAGTTTACATTGGCATGAAATAATAAATTATACCGTCATTGTAAAGTAATATATACTGTATACACACAATAAACAAGATATTACATTGTGTGATGATCGGTGAATATTTTATGCTTATGAAGCAAATTCAGGAACTTTTTTAATAGCATTATTAGTGGTGTCATAAATCAACCCCAAACACAGCTAATAATAGAAGATAAATCTGAAAAGCTAATCTTGTTTCTGAATTTGAAAGTATTAAACTGCAGCATGGAACTTACTCTGCTAGAAATTGTGTAGCAAACTGCTAAATTAGACAACCATTCAAAAGTTTGGGGTCAGTAAGAAAAAAAAAAAAAAAAAAAGTCTCTTATGCTCACCAAGGTTGCATTTATTTTGTCAAAATACACTAAAAACGTGTAATCTTGTGATATATGATTAATTTAAATTCATTTAAATGAACTGTTTTCTATTTTTATATATTTTATAATGTAATTTATTCCTGTGATGGCAAAGAGTTTTCAGCAGTCATTAATCCAGTCTTCATTGTCACATGATCCTTCAAAAATCATCCTAATATACTGATTTGGTGCTCAAGAAACATTACGCATTATCAATTTTGAAAACAGTTCAACAGAATTCTTTAATGAATAGAAAGTTCAAAAGTACAATTTATTTGAAACTGATATCTTTTGTAACAATATAAATGCCTTTATTGCTCTTGCTGAGTAAACAGCTGAGTAATTTCCTTCAGAATAAAAATCTTACTGACCCTCAAACTAGTGTATGTTCTAGCATTGTGATAGCAATTTTCCCACAGTTAAGCACCTAATTAAAAAAAATTCTAATTTTGTGTATTATTGTAATTACTTGTCTGCTGATAAATATTAGCCTTAACATATGCTTCCTCACGTGGTTCGAGCGCATCAGTATCATGGTGATCCTGCTGAACTGCGTCACTCTGGGGATGTACCAGCCCTGCGAGAACATAGACTGCACCTCAGAGCGCTGTCAGATTCTACAGGTCAGTGTGGACACATAAACACGCAAACTAACTCTGTTCCAAAACATACTGAGCAACCTACTAAGGCAGCATCCTAAATGTCATAGAGCAAATGGCCTGTCATTCCTCACCCAAAACATAAGACTAAATTAATTCTGTTTCTCAATATCTCTTCTCAAGTCTTTGATTAAACAGCTCATTTGATGTGGTCTCATTTTATGGTGCCTTTATGACCTTTGTGGGTCTTCTAATTTTTGGTTACCTGGACTTTCAGTGTATGGAAACCTCTAAGGTTTCATTAAAATTATCTTAATTTAATTAACCAAAAGTCTTAACTGACATAAGGGTGAGTAAATGATGACAGAATTGTCTTTTTTTGGGTGAACTATACCTAGTGCATATTACTACCCTAAGGTACAATTATACACCTTTTAGGAGTAGATAAAGTACACAGTTGTCCATTTGAGGGTGCTGCCCCAATGACAAGCTTTGTACCCTTTGTACAAAGGGTTTTATTTTCCCTGACACTCACTCTGAGAGGTTGAGAGGCGGTTGTGTTGACAGAGGATGGCCTTTAATTGCTTATGTCATCTTTTGGGAGCTTTGGGGACGTTTTTATGTGTCCTCTAAACTCTCCATGCATCCACTGTCCCAGGAGCCCTGCTGTGTTCATTAGCTTGCCTGGATGTGATGGCTGGGTCCAGGGAGTCTGTTCAGAGACCTCACATAAAAACGTATATGATCGTTGTGTGGTAGAAAAAGCATTGCCTATGTCTCTGCTCCAGTTCGGCTTTCATGGCACAGCTTAATCATGAACACGAGGGATTAGCTCACCTTAAAAACTCATCATTTACTCACTCATGTTCTTCCACCTGTATGACTTTCTTTCTTCTGTGGAGCACAAAAGGAAATACAGTATTTGGAATGATGCAGTTGGTGATGATCATTCTTTTCCATGTAGTTACACTGAAGGTAGACTAAGTCTTTCATGCTTTAAAAAGGACACAAAACACCATAAAAGTATGATAAAAGGGGGTCAATATGACAGCTATATTATGAGACTATATTCCTAATCTTCTGCTGAAGTCTAAATTTAAGGTATTCACTGAAAATCTTGACATCTACCTTAACTTACATTTGCAAGTTTATGAAAGCAATGTCAGAATCATGAACAAATTCATGATTTGTTTGAGTCAGTATTGAGTTTTTATTTATTTATTATTTTCACAAAACTAAACTAATGGTGTTTCAGGGTGTTTGTCGTTCAAATGTGGCTTAAGAGGACTTGGAAAATAGAACACATGTTGTATAAACCACTTTTATGATTTCTGCTTTTCTGCTTTTTAAAACAATTCATTGTAATTGGAGGGAAAAGAGCAAGCAGTACAAATCTTCCAAATATTTTATTTTGTGTTTCGTGGAAGAAAGTCATTCATATGGGTTTGGAGCAACATGAAACTAAATAAATGTAAAAGTAAATGATGACTTTCATATTCAGATATCCGTTGAAATAGTAGTAGTATTTTCCCCACACTTTTTTCATAATATTCACCAATGTATGCATGACTGTAAGTCACGAATGTAAGTCATCTTATAGGCTTTTAGTCCAAGAGATAAGTTATCGAGAATGACTAGGCCTAATGACTAGGTTTTCTGCCAAATTGAATGAGTTTTATAGCAATTCCCAGTCACTTTTCACAGTGCATATCCCAATTAAGAAATAATGCTGACTTTGAGCTTACCTCATATCTCAGGCTTACCTGTGAAAGTGGCTTACGTTACGGCGGGCCAGAGCCATCAGACGTCAACTTTACCTTCTCATAGGTGCCGCTGAAATGGAGTGAGAGCCATGACTCAATGTTTTATCAGTCAAGATGAACAGTATTCCCTCAGTGAGCTCTCGCTGTTCAGAGCTGTACTTTCATTGTGTAAAAAGAGTTTTGAAGAGAGAAATGCAAATTAAGAAGGTCTGCAATGCAATATTTCTCACATTAGCTTTTTGGATTGACTGCAAAATAAAAAGACGGGGTTGAAATGAAAACTGTGTGGGCAGGAACGAAAGTCTGTCTCTCTCCTGCTTGCTGTGTGTGTACGGACTTGTATAGAGAGCCATATGTCAGGTATGGCGCGTGGAAGAAGGTAGCTTTAGAGGAAGCGTCCTCTTGGCACCATGAGGTTTGCATCCTCTGGTCCCACAGGAGATCTTAAACTAGTGCTGTTCTGCTCGCCCGCACCGGCCGGTTTCAAACTCTCCGTTTCTCGTGTGGGCGGCCATCCAAATTGGCATCGCTGCCCAACGGCCCCCTCCCTGTATCACACATAAACACGCTGTAGTGTGAAACAAAACCTGTATCAATTCTGCTTGGCAACTGGGGACATGCAAAGTGACTAAGACTAAGGGGCACAACGTAACAGACGTTCTATTTTCTGCATGCGTGTGCAAGAAAATTACACTTCTCACATCGTTATAATTATCCCTGCAGGGTTGAACTTAAAAACTGAACGAGTGACCAACATGAGAGCAGAAAGAAAGCCAATGATGAGGGCGATCGCGGCTTGACTGGTCTGTGTAATCAGTCGCTCGAAATCCCAGCTATATCTGTGGCGCCGTAATGAGAACGCAGCAGGGCTTTGACAGCGACAATCACGCGTCGGAGTGTTTGTAAGGAGCTAATTAACAGCCCTCTTTAAGTCTGTGTACTCACGCGACTCAATTGTTTATGAAAGAAATGCTTTCTGCCAAATGGATCATCTGCTCTGATCGTCAGTCATCTCAGCGACGGTTGGGAAACGAGATCCAGGGTGGGTCGTCCAGGGTCAGGTGAAGTAAGGGTGAACAGGCTGGGTGCTGACTGGACTTCATGGTTTCTTTTCAGGCTCATTCAGCTTTTGACTTCTGTCAAAATCTCATTAGCTCTCATTGGCAGTCAGATACTGTACATTAGAAAAAAACGATGCCGTGCAACACATTGTAAGTATTTTGGTTACTTAGTCCTTCACAGAGCAAATTTGAATGCTCAGAAGTTATATCTGCAAAACATACAGTTCTGTAAATTAAAACAATTATGAGAGTTGTTATCTTGTTATGTAATTGTTTATCTATCTATCTATCTATCTATCTATCTATCTATCTATCTGTCTGTCTATCTGTCTGT